ATACTCTTTCTACATCCTCTCTTCTTTTCTACCAGCCTGCCAAAGAATCACTGGCCTGTGGCTGATTGTACTGCATACCTTGATGAGCAGAGACCACCTGGAACATATCAACCACGAGAATACGATGTGGGAAAAAAAATAGATAAATGAAACAAAAAGCGTGTTATTACCACTTCAGCTGCCCTTCACCAACAGCTACGGAGTGTGCTGGAGGCAGTGTCTTTGTTCACCTCTCCCTTTATTCGGTTTCTGTCTCTCCTTATGTGTCGGTCACACTCCCCACCCCCACTCGCAGAGAACAAACAAGAGTCCCAAGATTTCATGAAACTCACCCAAAAAGCTTATCCACAATATCCAGGCAATATCCACAATATGCAGGCGAAAACACGTACGTCGCCTCTCTTTGTTTCTGTCTCTCTCGCTCACCTTGGCTCTATTACACTTCCTTAATGAATACATTTTCACAATATATCAGCATTACAGAGGAAATGCTAGTTAAAAAGGTCCCATATACTCTCTAAAGTTTGAGAAATGCATACTGTATGCATGAGTGTTGAAAGCGTGACAGTTTGGGGAGGACACAGACTGAAAGCTTCATGCAAATGAATGTTCGCACATTCAAACAAGACACCATCAATAGGACATAAGTGCTACTCGGGTAAAAACCAGCATATGTTTTAGTATTTTTGCACAAGCAGGACCTTCTTGCCCTTGAACAGAAATAAACCCACTGATATGGCATATCCACACTCTCTCTGACACACACACACATAAACATGGAGAGACACTAATTGGATTTATATTATGCACATGGACAGTTCATGGTCACCTGGGTCTTTGTTTCACAATAACTTCACTCCCGCCATCCGGTCAATCAAACTATCGTGGGAGGGGCCTGTCTGTGGCATCTGAGATCGGCTCAATTTGAGAAAGGAGAAAACATTTAACCAGATTTTTAAAAAAAACACTGGGTGGATTTTTAATCATTATAGGGTGGTTGTGTACACACTCTGCCAACACACATTTCAGTTTAAACAACTTATAAAAGCACATGTAGCATCCTATGACCCCTTTAAACCTCCACATTTATAAAAAAAATAATAGAAAACACACACACACACACTTACATTCTCATGAGGAATACTTCCTACCTCAAAGTAAACAAATGAGATCCTCCTCGCATGGTGCTGCAATACCTGGAGAGCAGTACCAGGAAATGATTATACTAGAAGCAGTGTTTGCTCATTCATTTGGCGCCGCTTCACTCCGTGTGTGTGGTTTGAATAAGAAAGGAGTGCATTTAGACACGTAATACAAGAGCTCAGTCTAACAGCTGCACATAATGCATAACTCTTCTAACACAGAGCAGCTTTGCACAGTCATTTAATATAAAAACGAGATATTATTCCTACAGGCATCTCTCGTGTCTCTGAAACAACCCATGCGTGTGATACAGGGGGTTAGGTTCATTATCTAAACAGATTTGACGGGATACCTGATTATGTCTCTGACCTGTGACCTTGTATGACATGCCCTATTTGACCTCTTTTTAAGAGACTGAGAGAAAAAGAAATGATTATGTGTATTTGTGTATGTGCAAGTGAGATGGCGCCTCATTATATTTGTGGTAAAGGTATGTGAAACACGGGTTATTAAAAAAACAGCCATGAAATCTGTTGTAATGTCTGAGAGTGGCAACTCCAACATAATACGCGCACATGAGCCAAAAAGAAAAAGAAAATAGCTCTGTCCCCTTCTGTCAGTTTTTTTCAGTTATAATGTCTTTTTTTCAAAGAAAATAAAGTCACTGTAAAATAATATATACAACAAGGAATAGTAACAAGAAAAAACACCCAAGTCAACGTTATTCAAAATCTTTTTTTCTCTCTCTCTCTAAGCTTACAAGCTGCAAAATTACATATTTTCGGCTAGGGATGCACGATATATCGGCCACCATATCGGTATCGGCCGATAAATGCTAATTTTTCTGTTATCGGTATCGGCCTGATAAGAAAATTTGGCCGATATCTTAAAGCCGATAAATAATGCATTATTTCCTTCAGAAACACTTCAGATGCGCGCTGTTCGTTTGCAGCCTTTTGTGCAATTGTACGTTGTAATATTGTGTTTATTTGATGTATATCTGATTTATCTCATATAGAATGCATTTGGTTAAGTTAAAAGAGCGCTTCAGTTTACCGGTGATCGTCTTTAGCTCAGCGCACGCAGCTCAAACAGCAGTGCACAACATTAATAACTATGATTGGGAATGTTGTGTATATAACATTCTAATGAGAACATTATTATAATAAAACGTTGTGCATTCTTTGGGTTTAGTTGCCGTGTTTCAGCACGTTGTTATGGGAAGAGCGCATCCACAACAGGATCACACATTCTGACTATAGCACGCAATAACTGCATCATTTTGAACATATATAAGTTGTAATATTATGTTTATGTTGTATTAATATTAATCTCAGGATGCATTTCCTTGAGTTAAATAAGCTGCCAGCAAAACGCTTCAGTTTACCATGTTCATTCAGCTCTTCAGCTTCAGCACGCGCAGCTCAACGGCTACTATTTAAAACAGTGGTATTAATTTGTCACTTTTTCAAAATCATTGATACATTATTAATAACAACAACCACTTGTATTTTTCTCTTATTATTTTCATCAACAATATGGTTTAGTAATTAAAATCATTTAATTATTGTCCGTGCAGAGGCTATTCCGTTTTATTGATCTGTGGCGCATTCATTTTGATTCTTTACACGTGTAATGTGTAAAAAATGTCCAGTGACTTGTTTGCATTATTTATACATTATTTTATTTTTTTGTAAGACTTTTTTATGACTAAATTTGGTAATGGGAGAGTAAAAATATTTTTAAAACGTACACCATTCAAACTAGGCTGCTTATGTTGAAGTGTTTGGGATGTGACTTTTAATGATGAGACCTTTTTTGTAATCAGGCTCTCAAAAAGTATATAACAATTTGGATATAGATTTATCGGCCAACATATCGGTTATCGGCTTTCAAAAATAAAGAATAATCGGTATCGGCCAAAATTTTCATATCAGTGATTCCCTATTTTTGGCACATTTCTGCTCCACAAAACATCTACTGAACAGAATACACTACCGTTCAAAAGCTTGGGGTCAACAAAAAAAAAAAAAAAAATGTATTCAGCAAAGATGCATTAAATTGATCAAAAGTGACAACAAAAGCATTTATAATGTTACAAAAGAATGATTTCTGAAGGAAAGTGTGCCATTGTAGACTGGAGAAATGGCTGCTGAAAATTCAGCTTTGCCATCAGAGGGATAAATTACATTTTAAAATAAATTAAAACAGAAAACTGTTATTTTTTTATTGTAATAATGTTTCACAATAATACTGTTTTACTGTTTCTTTGATCAAATAAATGCAGCATTGATAAGCGTAAGAGGTTTCTTTCAAAGTTATTTAAAACACAAACTTTTGAATGGTAGTGTACAAGCAAATTATGAAACAATCTTTCAATCAATAATTAAACTGCTAAACACACTTTACAGTGTATGACAATTTGTGTTGTAATAATACACGCCCATGTGACGTTCATCTTAGACTGAAGGCCATCCTGACACACATAAATAGCCACTAAGCCAGTCTCTACCAAAGAGCCCACTTCATCTTCAGACACAAAGCTCTGTGATTAGAATTTGGTACTGAAAAAAGGGATACAGAAAGAGAGGGAGAGGGAGCAATATGTGTCGTGAAGTGTTGCTATTACCGTCTCCATGGGCAACTAAAGAGGAATCCTGCCAATTCTGTGAGTAGGTTGTGTCTGGGAGGGGAGTGCAAACCACAATCCTTAAGGTATTATTGTAAGTCAATGTCTGTCCAAGTCCGCGGGAAAACATCCAGAGGAGAGAGAGGAGCATTCAGCCCACTGACAGCCCAAGAGAGCGCTTCTACCTGGGGAGAAACCCAACAGATACCCTGCCTGCTGGAGATACCATGTGCAATTGGGCACCTTAGCATGAGTCCATTTAAACGAGCATAACCAACTCCAATAAAACACCAGGTGCATGCGACAAACCTGAACCTGGGGGAATGAAAGTTGGCAATAACACAGAAAATTCTGAGCATAATAATTTCTTTATTTCTCTCAAATCAAACTGGAACAAATTTAAATAACTTAAGTCGGATCAGGTGGTTTCCTATTGATAAATATGAGCGATTGTTACTTTATAGCAAGACCGTATGTAACTTCAAGACTTTTAATTCCATCAGTTTTGAAAGTAAAAAAAAACATTCTCTCCACTGTGCCTCCAATTTACTATATTAATCAACTAGCCATGATAATTACTGCACTTGCAATTAATACTGTGACCAATACTTCGGGATAATTACATTTTGTACCAATTGCGCCTTTCTCCCCTCGTCTGTAGCCTACATCTCAATTAAGTCTTTTGACTTGCTGATTACAATTTTTATGTTTGTCTTTCATTAGCAGGTCCTGAAAAAAAATCAATCCTGACTGTCAAACGTCCTGCAAAGTCCTACTTCCATTTACAGCTAATAACTGGATGTCTGTCTAATAATATGCTCAAAATACGCCCACTTAAAATGCCATGCAAACTCAGAGTACGATCGCACTCTCACTTTAAATGGCAATGTCCATTTTATACATGTGACGTTAATTACAATAATAATGTGCGATTACAAGCAGCTTCACAAAAGATACACATTAAGTGCATAGTCCAATACATGATACTTCATAATATATAAAAATGGGAAGTAAAACCTATGAAACATCCAGTGTTAAGGTACCTAAAGCCACAACTCGTGACAGTTGGAGGCTTTACAAAAAAACAGCGTGTTAAGATTATTCCTGTTTCAAAACCCAGCAAGTGGTCTACTTAAACAGAATTTCTGATTCCAGGCGAATGAGGAACAAAGAGGATACCAGCATGGCTACATAAGTCATCTGTTAAAAAGAGGTTCAGATTACTCACGGCAGTTCTCCTCATCGCTGTTGTCCGAGCAGTCATCATCATCATCACATCTCCATGGAGTCGGGATACACCTGCCATTCCTGCATTGAAACTGACCGCTTTCACAGTCCGGGTTATTTCCTGTCATACAAGACGTTTTGAGTAAATGCAGGGTCCAAATTTTGGGAGGATCAAACTTTTAAACCAAAAACTAATCTTCAATATGCGGTTACATCTTTAACCCAACATCCCCAAAGGATGTCGAAGCAAACTGTTGGGTGACTTACAAAGCACAATATTACATATCATTTTATTTTAGATTCACATATTGTACATCAATAAAAGCTGTTGAAATCTTTACAAACTTCAAAAAGGTTTGAAAATAGGTGTCATGTAAAGACATTCTAAAAGCATTTGAGCACATTCTAATTACAGTTTTACAAGTCACTGTGTAGTTTTGTTAACATCTGTTAGTTAGGCAATACTATCACAGTAAAATTGATGTGCATGTGTGCAATGACAGGTTGCAGTAAACTATAACTGTTGTCTATGAGAAATTACACGTGTGCACAAACAATTAAATGAATGATGCACAAGACACATTCAGTAGGAGTAAAGTTGCGCCAATGCATACGTGTTGCTTTCAGTGGTGTACTACTATCGTAGACCTTGAAGAATAGACTATTGTAATTACATTAAAAAATCGCTTTCTTCTTGTAAACCCCGCAATGAGCACGGCAGGGCAAGAACAACATGAACTTGATCAGATTGCAATTCCTTACAATACAAGCTGCCTAAAGAGATTTTCGTGATACAACTTAGCGCTCTATTAATGTCTCGTCAAAGGAAGCAGATGCACGCGACTGCGCCGGTGTTTCTACAGCATCGTTTACATTCATAACAGTGGACCGACAGCGTAAAACAGACACTTACCATTTACCGGCAGAAACCCCACGAGTATCATATGTAAAAGCAGCAGTTTCCCTATAGCCGTCCACATCTTCACAAATCAAGGCGTTGTGCTCATACGAAATATAAAAAGATCGTGCAGTACAGTGTGTACCTCCCTTCTCCGTGCAGCACGCGCTCTGACTCGCCACAAGCTCCACTCTGCTTTCGATACCAGTTTGAATTGATGACGCCAACGCAGGTGGGCGGGGCCATGTGTGATGACTTGTACGTATGGGCGGAGTTAAAGTTGAAAAATTGAACAAAGCATTGCGTGTCATCAGCCTACTCAACTGAAGAAATCAACAGATTCTTGGACACGGTGGAGTAGAAATAATCGTAAAATGCTATAGAAAATCTATAAAAACGGAAGTGAACATTTTTGGGCTCATGCTAATGTAAAATTAAAACGTATTTTTAATTACATTTTCATGAAGTTGAAATTATATTGTAAACATTTAGTTATTTTTTTCTTAAGTTCAAAGTATTCATTTATTTCTGAAGTACCTGCAAGACCCATGCCATTTCTTTATATTATCTCAAATGTTATGTTTCTTCCTTTTTAATTATTAATTAAGTGCATGGGGTGTTTTATGTTACATATGTTGCATTATTTTAGATTCGAGTCTTCTTTAAGGTAGCTGCAGGAACTGGCTGGCATTATAAACAGGAAGCTGTCGGCATTGCAGTGCTATGATAAATTGTTCCCCCTTCTTAAGTGTGAAAAAAAGAGAATGAAAGAAGGAGAGAGATGGAAAGAGGGAAAAAGAAGCTGAATGTTTTTTTCTCAGTTGAGAAGGCATCACCATCTGTCAGTTGTCCTCTTTTCTCACATGCATTGAATCGACTCTTAGAAACAACTTCTGCTTGGGTTCTTTCTGAGAGATTACTTTCACTGTGGATCTAGCATCAATTTCTGCTACATGAAATGCTAAGTTAACCATACAGAAGCTCTGTAGCTCATGTTCTGTTGTAAAAATAATCACCAACTGTAAGGAGAATTTAACCCACAAACCTAATTTATATATTTTCTATTACCTACTTGCACATTATCACATACATAATATCAGTTTAGAACTAAGTCACAACACTACAACTTTAATTTTACTTGACCCCATGAAGTCATAATAGCAATTGGCCAGTGTCTCTTCCAAACTTCCTGTTTCATAGGAAATATGTTTATAAGGGAAAAGAAAACTGAGGGTAAACATTAAATATAGATATCACCATTAAGAATAGCAAACAAGTTTTCTGAAATGTGAAGTATGAATATGCAAATGAGGCATTATCTAAATAAATATGCACTACACTGCATACATTTCCAGAACTTCTTGAAATCTTGAATTTGATAAAGCCAGGTTCATGAGCTGACATATTAGAGTCAAAAGATTCTATATATCTCTTTTTATCCATAAATCAGAAAATACTGTCACGATCACACTTTAAAGGGGTCATATGATGCTGCTAAAAAGAACATTATTTGGTGTATTTGGTGTAATGAAATGTGTTTATGCGGTTTAAGGTTAAAAAAAACATTATTTTCCACATACTGTACATTATTGTTTCTCCTCTATGCCCCGCCTTTCTGAAACGCCTCGATTTTTACAAAGCTCATCGGTCTGAAAAGCGAGGTGTGCTCTGATTGGCCTAGTGTCTATGTTGCGCCCCTACCATACTGTGCTGCCCTGCATAGACTGTATAAAAACATGGACTAGTGTCCGTGATGTCACACGTAGGTTTCCAAAGAGCGTTTTTGAAGCCTGAAGTAGGCAGAGCCGGCCGTCGCCATCTTGGCAGCGCATCACCGCGCGTCACTCCCGGATAATCGAAAATGGGCAAAGATGCGGGAGCAGGTTGCTGAAACCACGCCCACCTAGCTCGACGGTGGTGACAGCAGCGGCAATCCACCTGTCACTCAAGCGGCCACGCCCTTAATTATGCAGAACTTTAAGGCTTAATATAATTTAAACGGATGAGTTATAAAAAAATTCACCCCCCTCACAGTTGTCATGAAGGGCAAACTTAGCTATATAGACCAAAATCAATTTTTGAACCAGGCTGTAAACATGTTTTTTTCTGCTGTAAAGTTGGGCATTTTAACATGGGGAGTCTATTGGATTGACTCCCTTTTGCGGCCAGCCTCTAGCGGCCAGTTGACGAATTACAGTTTAAGTCACTTCCTTGTTGGCTTCACGAGAGAGAGCGGGAGGTTGCCGCTTGATGCCTTGTCCGGCCAGAGCAACGAGACAAAAACATTAAAACCCATTGCGCGTTGCATCGCGCCGCGTAAACATAAAACCATGTCTGCATTTGTGATCGGAGAAATGACAAACAACAAGCGCTACTCTACACTGCTCAGAACTCACTTTTGAATCGTCAGTGGCAAATTCTTTAAATATAAAAAACGTACTTACAGTCTGTGAGTCAGAACAGCCGGCATTGTAGTCTACTCTCCCAGGATCAGGAAACAGTCCTCCATAAAATGTGCTGCACACATCTGAATATTTGGGTTGAAGTGTTCTGGAACAGTGTTGTAAATACAACTTAACCACTGATTTCTAGTCGTGTCCTCTTTTGGAAGGCCAAACAAAGTAGTTTCGCTTTCACAATGAAATACAGCGTCACACACGGCGGCCTAGAGTGAGCGACAGCCTAGAGTATGCGGAGGCCGGCTTGAGTGAGCGGCGGCCGGTGGATTTGACGAAGGAGCGGCCGGCGGGGTTGCGGCAACCACATGTGACGACCCCGGGCTGGACTCTGCTTCATCCACGGTGAAAGCCAATCTGGCGATCCACAGCGCGAAGTTGATGTATTTCCTCAGCGACCAGCACGGATCAGGGCATGACGAAGCGGATATCGTCCTCTTTTGGAAGGCCAAACAAAGTAGTTTCGCTTTCACAACGAAACGCAGCGTCTTCACGACATGGCGGCAGCAACAACAATACTACAGTGAGAATAAAAGTTACGCCTTCTTTCTTTGCGTGAACATTTGGACATCGGGACGTAGACATGTGGGGGCGTGTTAGAACGAGCCGTTTTAGGTAGGCGTGGTTGACTCTTAACTTTTATAAAGAATATCTCTTTGGATTTGAGACTTTACAGATCTTCTTTATGCACCAAGAGCTTGTAACACTTCAAAGAGAAAGGAAAAATTGAAATCGCATCATATCACCCCTTTAAATGACAATGTCCATTTTATATAGTACATCACTATTATCAATTATTATAATAATGTGCGATTGCAAGCAGCTTCACAAAAGATGAACATTAAGTGCATTGCCCATTACTAATACATACTATACAGCAAAACAAGCACTGTAATCTAAAGCCAAAACTCGTGACAGTTGGAGTCTTTCCAAAGAAACAGCTGCTTAAGTTTACTCCTGTGTTTCAAAACTTAGTGAGTGATATACTTAAACAGAATTTCTGGTCAACATTGGATGTTTTTTGTTCCTCTTTCAATTTCAATTGAAAGAGGAACAAAGAGGATACCTGCATGGCTAAATAAGACAGCTGCTAAAAAGAGGTTTAGATTACTCACGGCAATTCTCCTTGTCGCTGTTGTCCGAGCAGTCATCATTATCATCACATCTCCATGGAGTCAGGATGCTTTCACAGTTCGGTTTATTTCCTGTCAAGAAGTTTTGAGTAAATGCAGGGTCCAAACGCATGGTATCAAGTTTTTAAACCAAGGACCAATCTTCAATATTTGGTTACGTATGTACTTTAATCCAACATCCCCAAAGGATGTCAAAGCAAACTGTTGGGTGACTTACAAAAATATTACATATAATCAGATATACCAAAAAAATTATGTCAACATCCAGGAAAAAAAATGACCATGTTAGGAATAAAATCAGGCAAATGACATAAGGAATAAACGCCTCTGTAAAAACCTAATGAAGATAGGAATAAAACTGGAAAGTTTGTTTCATAACGTGTTGTTTCAAAATAGCAGAAAAAACATCCAAAATACACTTTTATGTGTTTATGTTATTGCACTTTATCTATTTCCATCTGTAGATTCCACTTAAAATACATACTGTATATTTAAAAGCTATTTTCTCAAAATAAAGTTTTTTTTCATGCACTGAGCCAGAAATTTCCACATTGCACTTACAGTGCATGCACCAAACTTTTTTTTAATTCCTATTTATATTCTGATGATTTTAACAAAGGGCTTTGTTCACTTATCATTCACCTGGTTTATAAAATATTATTTCTAAAAAATATATATATATTTTTTTCTGTTGTATTTTTTATTTTTTTTTTACTTATGAAGTTATAATAATAGTGATATGCAAAATTGCCTCTGGCAAAACTCCAATATGTCAACAAAATGAAACAAGAATTTTGAACCTGGCTTTATCCAATGTTCAAATTTCTGTTCTGGAAATGTATGCAAGTCAGCATATTTAATTAGAAAATGCCATATTTGTATATTTAAACATACCATAAAACTTGTCATTCAAACCAATTATCTTAATGCAGTGATTAATGAACTTAGGAAGTATGATGTATCTTTCCTATTAATCTGTAGTGTCTTGCTTTAAATTATTTTATTTTTTTTTTATCTTTGCCAACATCAAAATTACATTTTTTGGTGTCAATGACATTTTGACTGGTCTTTGAATCATTTCTAGAAAAGAGGAAGAAAAATTAAAAACTGAAAACTCATGTGAGGGAATCAGACCATAAGAGCCGAGGTCAGCTGATCAGCATTTTCTCTCTCTTTTTTAAGTAGCAGAACTCGCCAAAACTGCCAGAACTGCTTGCTACCAAGCTGCTGAACCCAAAAAATACAAATAAAAAAAGAGAGATGTTTAGTCGATAACTGGCTGGTAGCCCACCAGAAACAGATATTAAATGTCAGTGCATCAAAAAATATGACAGATGAGAACTAGCAAACTGCAGTAACTTATATGAGAAGCAACGGAACATGCCTGAACAGTAGTTCCCTGCCCTCTTTTGAAATGCAGTTCGACTTTATTAGAACTCATTATTTGAGGAAACATATGATTGTTAACGTGGAGTGCTTAGCTTGTCTATTTTGCTGTGGTTTGGAAGTTTGATTCCAGTCGCTGATGTTTGAATAGTCTAACGATTAGAGTGTAATGAGGCATTTTATCCAAATCACCTCACTGGGTAAG